ATTTTTATAATATCGTCAAACTTAAGCCTTGAATGTACTGTTCTGGGGGAGAATCCTTCAAGGAAGGTCAATGTTTTTTGTTTTGTTTTGTTTTGTTTTACCTTAATAATTTCAAGGATCTTGTGGCCTGGTGTGCAGATTTTGGGTTTTCAGACCCACGACCGCATGAACATATTCCTTGATTTCTCTAAATCACTGTCTCTCCCCTGCTCTCTAAACATGTGTGAGGTAGAGAGATATACTATCTGTTCTGTTTCACTAGTGAAACCTAATACAACAGTATCTAGGAAAACTTTTTTTCTTTTCCCTTTTTGCCCATGGGCCACAGTGAGAGCAATCTCATTGCCATGGGGTCGGCCTAACCCATTGCTGACCCTCCAGCTGGTTCTCAAAGTCTATAAATTGGACCGAAGGAGATTGTTCCTCCTCCTCTTTGGAGCCACTGGTGGTTTCAAACCAGCTGCCTTTAGGTCAGTAGTGAAACACCCTACAGACTAAACCACCAGCACTCCCTATAGTAAGCACATGGCATGAAATAATGCTTCCAGCCATCAAGTAAATTCCGTATCAAGTTCTGTTCACACAAGTTACAACCAATTTGAATAGTCCTCACCAAGTACCTTGTATTATGGTGGTCTCCTAACTTTTATAGTATTAAAGCTCAAGTCCTAACGATTAGAAACCCAAGTTCTTTCTAAACTTTCATTAAAATCTAAATTTTTTTAAAAAGTTCAAGTCTTGAAAATTCTAAACCAGCAGCCTTTGGTAAAGAAACGCATCCATCTCTGTGCTCTGTGTGAAGTTAACGTTTCTCTGAAGTGTTCTGAATGAGTTCCGTACCTCCTCTTTGGAGCGAGTCTTGAAGAAGTCTCTCTCAAACACTCCTCTCTGGCTGAAGATGGTGGGATAGAGTAAGGAGTATGCATTACCGTCTTCGCCGTAGTTCGTTCTGTCACTGATGCGGCGGATCCGGGGGACAGGGATGTCAGACCGCACAGAGGGGACTCCGTAGATGGGACAGCCTGTGTCAACAAGAGGGGAGAAAGCCCATTCCAAAAGTCAATTCTGAAGCACACAATAGCCTGGCCTCCAGCCACAGGTGGCTACCGACTCCTTGAAACGGAGCCAGTCCAAGCTGGGATGTGCTAGAAATTCAAAATACCCATCAGATAGTGAAGGCTTTGTGCAAAGCAGAAAAAAAGTCCAATATCCCTAACGATGTTTATATGGTACACATGTTAAAATTATCATCTTTTTTTTCCAATGGAGAAAATAATTGTAGACTCATAACAACAACATATAGGACAGATCTGAAACAATCCGTATCTGACCCCATTGCGCCATTTCTGATATGTCCGAGTCTACTGTTATAATTCATGTGTTAATCTATCATGTTGAAGGTCTTCTTCTCTTTCTCTGAACCTCCACTTTCCCTTGTATGATAGCTTTGCCGAATTATTATTTCCTTTTGATGATATACTCAATATGAGACAAAGATTCACCATACTCGCCTCTAAGGACCTGGATGCGATTACTACAGGATGGA